GCGTGTAGCTGGCGTCAGCGGGCTGGCCGTACGTTCCGTAGCTCTGCTGCCCGTACGTCTGCCCCGAAAACGACACGAATTTAATTCCCAAACAGAAGCCGCTCGCACGCGTTGCACGGACGCACGCGGGCCCTGCTGGAAGCAACCTGAGCCAAGCCAAGGCTACTCAAATACGTGGCACTACCACAAATTTCAGCGCAGATCTGCAGTGACCTTACAAACGCAGCTTTTCAAAGCCAGGACCAGAGGCAGGGGGAGCCTCCTGTGTATTCACGTCACACTTTTGCTCTACGTAAAGCAGAGCAGAAGAGCACCCAGCTCCCTGTCATCGCCCAGGCACACAGGAACATTCACAGGGCCCTCCCGAGGGCTAACCTGCACCGCTGGGAGCGGGGCCACCCTCAGCCCCATGCCACAGCCCAGCCAGCCTGGACCTCGGGCACCGGGCAGCTTCTAACAGCTCGGCGCAGTCAGTTGCTGTGTTTTGGGTGAAACTGTGGGTACAGCTCAAGAAGCAGCACAAACACAAGCCTTAACAGCTAGATTTTCAGAGGTACTTGCTGGTTTCTGGGAGGAGTTTGGCAGTTAAATGCTTTTTGGGACCTAAGCCTGCATTACCTGTGAGCTCCTCTCCCTGGCTCACGAGCAGCACAGATCCTCACCAAGCCACAGATCTCAACAAAACTCCAACCAGCCTGGGTCTTCCAGCACCGGTGGAAGCTCACCCCAAGAAGAGGCAGAAAACCCCGTGAGCCCCCCATGGCAATCTGCCTACAGCTGAGAGGGAGGAGTGGGTTGTGCAGCCTCGCCCTGAAGGACATCGAAGCCTCCTCACACCTTCCGTGCAACCCGTACTCTGGCAGCAGCTCTCGCCTTGTCCTCCCTCCATATATTTGTTCACAACACGAGGTGTTGTCATTTTCCCTTTGGCCGACCCAAATGCCAGTAGCGAGCCTGTGCTCGCCCTGTAAAGGCCGTGTTTTTGCAAAGGTATCGCAGCACCAAAGGTTTTTATGAAGGTTTTTTTTACCAGCCTGCTGCAAGCCGGCTGGTGTGGGCAGCAGGAACACAGCCCAGCTGGGTTAACCCCTTTGAAGCTGCTCAGTAACATGCAGGGCGGTTGGTTTTGACTCCAGAATACAGATGTGTGTTTTTCAGTGCTGGGGTTCTCCTTTCAGAAAGCACTCTCTGGAGATACTGGGGAAAAATTAACCCAGACTGCTCCAAAAACACACTTGTAGAGCGTACACAGCTGTGGTTTTAGGAGCTTGGATTCTAAGGATGAGAAAGGCATCGTTTAATTCATCTCTTAAAGATCGCCATCAGTTTGCAGTCTAGCCAACTGACAAAATTAATAGTTTCAGCTACAATACCTTCATGAAAATCTATCCCCTCCTCCTGATTTCTCCGACTGTGTTGTTTGTGACACAATAATTTCCCCCATCTCTCCTCTTTTTATCAGTCTCTCCCCCCTACACCACTAACTAAACACCCACTGACACCTCAATGTCAAATGTGCCCCAGGAATCGGGCTTCTACGGTCCCCTCAGCAACAGGTTCGGATACAGAATCAGAAAATCCTTAGGGCTTGGAAAAGATCTCCCAGAACATCTAATGCCAAGGAAGGGGAGAGCTGAAGCTCCTTGCTGTCAGGCAGTTCTCACTCGAAGCAAGCAGCGCAGGCTGGGAGGAGAGCTACAAGACAACTTCTAGGGACAGGTTTTGAAGCTGTGTTTTGGGGCTGGCAGAGCGCTGTGTGCTTTACTGGGGGGCATGCAATTGCTTCCCAACCCCCCCGTGCGTTACCTGGGTGGTCTGTGCGTATCCTTGAGCTGGCTGAGGTGCGTACGCGCTGTAGCTGCAAAAGGAATTTGAAGAGATTTATAATGCGCCCCCATATCCCTGGCTCACGCAACGCATGCATCACGGGATGATTTGGACGTATCCAGGTGGCCCCCGATGAAATCCCAAGGCAAAAGGGGAAAGCCTTTGGGATGTGCACACACGGCCGAGCTGAGGCTACAGTGCAGTTACTGCGCGCACATCACACCTTTTTGTGGGGTGGGATAAGAGCACGATGCGACTTACCCCTGCTGAGCTGCAGCTTGGCTGTAGGTACTATAATCTGCAAGAGAAAAAGGAAAATAATAATAATAAAAAAGAAAGTTAACAAAGGCTTAACAAAATTAACAGCATAAGAAGGCAGCAGCTGGAATTTCCTCCTGCAACTCCAAAGGACCGCTATAAACCGCTGGAAATCCAGCCTCCAAAGAGTAAGGTAAATGCACTTTCTCAGCCTTTTTAAAGGAAACAAAACCCCTCTTCCCTTTATAGCTCCTGCTGCTCCGCAGCCACAACTTTGATCTCAAATGACCCTACTTTAATTTAACTGCCACCTTGGCTAACACCCAAGGGGACTGGCAGCGGGGTGTTTTGTTTAGGAACAAAAGAAACTGCGGGGCTGACACTCACAAAACCCCTGTTTTCAAAGGGCCAGGTTGCAAGCTCCGGGTCCGTCGGAATGACAACGCTTCGCTTTCTATTTAACTTTCAAGGACGCAAACAAATCGCTGGAAAGTTCTAACACTTTTCCCTATCAGGGTTCGGAACAGGCAGCTGGCAGCGATTCCTTCCCCAAATCCCCAGCCCGTGCCAACGCTCTGGTTTAAAGAACTGAAATCCCCAAAACCCCAGCAGAAAAAGCCTGCGCTGGCCCGGCTGGCTGCTAGGGCTGGGAAACGCATCCACGCGGCAACTCCAAGGCTGTATTTGAACGTTTACAGCTCCTGCGTGCACGTTTTCCCTCCAAGTCACCACTTCCAGTTCCCATCCAAGGCTCTAGAGCAAACCCATGGCTTCGACAGAACCTCTCCAGCCGGAGCACTTCTCCAGCCCTCCCAGGACCTGAAAGGTCCCGAGGATCAGGAATGGGCTCAGAGTTTGCTGCTGCTTTCTGCCTGGGCTTCAGCATCCGACTGAGCTGCAATCAGAGGCTGAACGGGAGCAGAGCTCTGCTCAGACCCTCGCAGGGAAACGTTCTGGTGTCTCTGCTGTGATTGCACCTTGGGGTAAGCTGCTCTCTATCACAGAATTGAGCTTTACGAATTTACAGAACCCGCCTGAAGCCTTCCTACAGCCCTCAGCCACCCTTAGGGTATAACTTTCACCACTCTGCTTCCCACCGAGCTGCCGGGGGCTCCAGGAACCGTTTGGGAACCGCCGTTTGCACCCAGCAGCAGCTCTGGAGGCCGCGGATCTGCCTGCATGCAATCCCAACGTACGGAGACGGGAGCTTACAGGGCGGGCTGCTGCCCTTCCCTGCACGGCTGGCAGGACTCAGGGGGACACTGGAGGAGCTCTGTGACCAGTGGGGATGTCTGACAGGGGGAAATCGCCCCCCAGGGAGCAGCACCGGGCAGGACACACGGGGAAGGGGTCGGGGCAGGCCCCCGGGGCCCTGCCGGGCTCCACACACCACAAGGGGCCCGCGTTAAAACGCTTCAGCCCCGCTCCCACAGCCCTAACGCCTTAACGTTATAAAACAGCCACTATAAAGGGATAATACAATAAAGCAGCCATGCTATAACACACTAATATTACAAAAAGGACAAAGCCCTGCCAATCCCCAGCCCCACAGCGCCCTGAGGCCCACCCGGGCCCTCACAGCCCCCTCAGCGAACCCCCCCCCCCTTACAGGCCGTTACCTCCCCCCCCGAGGCCCCCACAGCCCACAACCGCTCTCCCCGATCCCCCCCGATTTCCCCAGCTCTCCCCCGGCCCCGAGGAGCCCTCCCCGGCCCCTCCAGCCCGGTCCCGGCCGGTGCCGTCCCCCCCCGTCGCGGCCGGGCCGCCCTCACCCGTGGACGCCATTTTGTCGCCTTCCTCCCTCCGCGCTCCCAACGTCCGGCCGCCGCCGCCGCCCCCGCACTGCGCATGCGCCGCCCTGCCCGCCCGGCACGTACCAACCGCGGGGGGGAAAGGGGGGGGGGGGGGAGAGGGGAGGGAATGGTACGGTCCGGGGAGGGGAGGGAGTGGAGGGAGGGGAGGGAGGGGGTGCTGACGTCACGCGGAGGGAGGGGAGTCCCGCGTGACGTCATGGGGGGTACGGGGGAGCTATGGGGGGGGTTGTGGGGGGTTGTGGGGGGTGGGGGTCTCCTAGGGGGTGTGGGGGGGTCCCAAAGGGAGGTGGGGGTCCCCTGGGTGGGGGTCCTCTGGGTGGGGGTCCCATAAGTGGGTGGGGGTCCCCTGGGTGCAGGTCCCCCGGGTGGGGGTCCCACGGGTGGGTGGGGGTCCCCTGGGTGAGGGTGTCTTGGGTGGGGGTCTCATGGATGGGTGGGGGTCTCATGGGTGAGGGTGTCGGGGGTGGGGGTCCCATGGGTGGGTGGGGGTCCCTTGGGTTGGGGTCCCACAGGCAGGTGGGGGTCCCCTGGGTGAGGGTGTCAGGGGTGGGGGTCCCACAGGTGGGTGGGGGTCCCCTGGGTGCAGGTCCCACGGGTGGGGGTCCCACGGGTGGGTGGGTGTCCCACAGGCAAGTGGAGGGTCCCCTGGGTGGGGGTCCCACAGGCAGGTGGGGGTCCCCTGGGTGAGGGTGTCATGGGTGGGGGTCCCATGGATGGGTGCGGGTCTCCTGGGTGGGGGTCCCATGGGTGGGTGGGGGTCCCTTGGGTTGGGGTCCCACAGACAGGTGGGGGTCCCCTGGGTGAGGGTGTCATGGGTGGGGGTCCTCTGGGTGGGTGTCGCATAGGTGGGGGGGTCCCAGGGGTGAGTGGGTGAGTGGGGGTCCCCTGGGTGGGTGGGGTCACACAGGCAGATGGGTGGGGGTCCCACGGGTGGGTGGGAGTCCCTGGGTGCCCCCCCTCACTGTGCCACTCCCTTCCTATGGGGCAAGCCCCCCGCCGCGCCCCCCACCCACGCATGTCCCCGCCACCAGCCCCCACCCGTGCGGTGGGTGCCAGCCCCCCACCCCCCAAGGATGTGACACGGGGGGGGGGTGACACGGGTGACACTTTCTGCGGACACCTTTAATGACCTCGCAGCGCCCAAAGCAGCCAGGACGGAGCGCGAGGGGGGGGGGGGCGCAGGGACACCCACGCCCCCTCCCCAGCACCGGGGTTGGCACCCCGTGCCCCCCCCCAGTGGGGTGCAAGCAGCAGGGGACCAAAGCTGAGGGGGGGGACAAAAGGGGTGGGGGGTGCAGGGGGGGGGGTCAGGCCGGTGTGGTGCCACCGGTTAGCACCAAGACCCCCCCAGGGGGGGTGTGGGGACACGGTGGGGGGACAGCGGTGGCTGTGGGGGGGGTGCCACCAGGCCCCCCCTGCTCCATCAGGGCCCGCCGGGGGGGTCCTGGCTGGGGGTTGCGACCCGGGTGGGGGGCAAGCGGCTGCGCCTGCCGCGGGGGGGGGCCGGGCACCGCTGGACCCCCACTGCCCGAACCGGGCTCGGGTTCTGCTGGGGAGGAAAAGAGAGAAAAGGGGGGGGTGAGGCTGGGGGGCTGCGGGGTGGTGGAGACCCCTCCCTGTCCCCAAATGTCCCCAAATGTCCCCCAGGGACCCCCCCCATGTGCTGGCAGGGTCACCGGGTGCCCCCATGGCACACAAGGTGGGCTCTGACCCCATAATGGTTCCTGGCACCCACCACCCCAAAATTGTGGCACTGTGCTGTCCCCAAGTGCCACCCCGTGGTGTCCCCATCCCTACATTGGCACCCCCCCCACTGGCACCCCCGGCAGCCCCCCCCCAGCAAAGCACAGTGGAAAGGGTGGGGAGGGGAAGGGGGGGCGCAGCCTGGCCCCGGGGGGAGCTCCAAGGCCTCCACCCATGAGGGTCTCCATGGTCCCCGTTGGTTCGAGGGGGGCTCCAGGGGGGGCTTTTTCTCCTCGAGGGTCTCCCTCGGTCCATGGGGAGCAACGAGGCCGCCCGTGGGCCCAGGAGGTCTCCGTGGGCTCCAGATGAAGGAGCTCTGAGGTCTCCCTGGGTCTTCAGGGAGCTCCAGGGTCTCGAGTCACGAGGGTCTCCGTGGTTCCCCTTGGTTTGAGGGGCTCCAGGGGCTCTCTGGCTCCAAGAGGAGCCCCAAGGTCTCCTCCTTTGGTCCACGGAGCCACAAGGCCTCAACCCAAGAGGGTCTCCATGGTCTCCCTTGGTCTGAGAGGAGCTCCGGGGCCTCAAGGAGCCACAAGACCTCAACTTTAGGTCCAGAAGGACCTCAAGAAGTCCTCCATGGTCTCTCTGGGTCTGAGAGAGGCTCCAGGGGTTCTTTTGCTCCTCAAGGGTCTCCCTTGGCCCATGAGGAGCCCCAAGGTGTCCTCCCTTGGTCCATGCAGCCACAAGGCCTCAACCCAAGAGGGTCTCCATGGTCTCCCTGGGTCCAAGGGGGTTTCCAGGGGCTCTCTCAACCCAAGAGGCCGTCCATGGTCCCCTTGGTCTGAGAGGAGCTAAAAGGTTTCCCTCAGCCCAAGAGGCCCTCCATGGTCTCCCTTGGCTTGAGAGGAGCTCCAGGGCCTCAAGGAGCCAAAAGACCTCCACCCAAGAGGCCGTCCGTGGTCTTCCTTGGTTCAAGAGAGGCTCCAGGGGCTCTTTTGCTCCTCAAGGGTCTCCCTTGGCCCATAAGGAGCTCCAAGGTCTCCTCCCTTGGTCCACGGAGCCAGAAGGCCTCAACCCAAGAGGGTCTCCATGGTCTCCCTTGGTCTGAGAGGAGCTCCAGGGCCTCAAGGAGCCACAAGGCCTCAACCCAAGAGGTCCTCCATGGTCTCCCTTGGTTTGAGGGAGGCTCCAGGACCTCTGGGGCTCTCCAGGGGCTCTCTTGCTCCTAAGGGGTCTCCCTTGATCCACGAGGAGCCCCAAGGTCCCCCCTGGTCCATGGAGCCTCAAGACCTCACCCCAAGATGCCCTCCACGGTCCCCCTTGGCTCCAGAGGAGCTCCATGGCCTCCCTCACCCCCTGGGCCCCCCCCCATGATCCTCGGAGACCTCCCCCACCCCAAAGACCCCTCTTGGGGGCCATCCCTTCCCCATCCCCTTGCTCCAGTCCCACTCCATGGGGGGGATGCGGCGCCCCTGGCCCATGCGAGGAGGGGAGGAGGAGGCCATGGGGGGGACATCTTGGTGGGGGGGGGGACATTACCTGGCCAGATGATGGCTTCCAGCAAGGTGACCCTCCTGGCCAGGACCTCCAGCCGGGCCTGCTGCCGCAGGAGGCTCTGGAAGCTACGGGCCTGGGGGGGGGAAGAGAGCAGAGCAAGGAGGGGGGGGGACACACCGGTGCGTGGCCTTCGGGGTGCCAAAATCTCCCAGGGGAGGTGTGTGTATGGTCGGGGGGGGTCCCGTGGCCCCATGGGGATGCGGGGGGTGCCCCCCATCCCCGTGGGTCCAGGGGGGTGGGTGCTGGGTCCTTAGGGTGGGGGGCCTTGCCGGGGGGGCACACAGCCTCCGGGGGGCCCCGTGTGTGCCGTGCCCCAAAACGGAGACCCCACTGGGGTGGTGGGGGACACACACACGACCCCATGGTGCCCGGCTCCCCACAGGTGGGGGGGGTCCCGGGTGGGGGGGTCCCCAAGCCCTGCCTGGCTCCTGCGCCCCCCCCCCCTCTACTCACCATAGAGCCCAATCATTGTTTCCAAGATTAAAACCCGCTCGGCTAAAATCTTCAAAGCCTCGCGGAGCTGGTGTAAACCCTCCCCCTGCGGAGAAAAAGAGGGGGGGGGTAAGGGAGGAGGGGCTGGGGGGCACCCCCAAACTCGCTGCCGTATGGGGGGGGCTGGCTCTGCGCCCCAGCACCCCTACGGGGGTGTGTAGGGGGAAGAAAAGGGGGTGCCGAATGAGTATGGGGTATAGCTGGGGACCTCCGTGCCGTTATTGGGGTCCCCAAGACACAATGTGAGCATGTGGCACATCTGGGGACTCCCTTGACATTATTGGGGTCCCAAGGATATGACACAAACCCAGGGCACATTTGGGAACCCCTGTGCCATTATTGGGGTCCCAGGGACATGATGTGAACACGGGGCACATTTGGGGACCCCTGTGCCATTATTGGGGTCCCAAGGATATGACACAAACCCGGGGTACATTTAGAGACCCCCCTGCCATTCTTGGGGTCCCAGGGTCACAGCACAAACACGGGGCACATTTGGGGACCCCCGTGTTATTATTGGGATGCCAGGGACATGACACAAACATGGGACACATTTGGGGACCCCCATGCCATTATTGGGGTCCCCAAGACACAATGTGAGCATGGGGCACATTTGGGGACTCCCCTGACATTATTGGGGTCTTGGGGACATGACACAAACCCAGGGTACGTTTGGGGCCCCCCCTGCCATTATTGGGGTCCCAGGGTCACAGCACAAACCTGGGGCACATTTGGGGCCCCCCCCGGGTACCCCCCACTCACCCATGTGCCCTTGTCGCCCGGCTCGCCCTTGGGGCCCGGCTCGCCCTGCAACACAGAAAGGAGAAGGACTGGCAGAGGGGGGGCGGGCAGGGGGGGCCCCCCCGCGCCCCAGCACAGCCCCGTACCCCCGGGGGGGGGCCACGTACCTGCGCCCCGTCCTGGCCACGGCTGCCTGGGTGTCCCTGGGGACCCTGTGTGGAATAGGGGGGGGGACAGGAGACAGAGCCGGTGAGAGCTGAGGGGGGGCACCCATGGGTGCCAGCTGAGCCCCCCCCTGCTCCCGGCACTCACCCTGTCACCATTGTCCCCACGGGGTCCCGCGGCTCCGGGCGCCCCGGCTCTGCCCTGCACAATGACAGCAGCGGTGCCATCAGCCCGGGGGGGCACCCCAAGGCACAGAGGTGTCACCCCCCCCCCCAAAAAAAACCTCCCGGCACTTACATCGGGGCCTGGAGGGCCGGGCAGCCCCATGGGTCCTGGGGGGCCAGGGGGTCCTGCGAGGAGATGGAGGGAGGGGGGCGCACGGCTCAGTCTGGTCCCAACGCGGTGACACCCCCCCAAAAAAAAAAAGGTGAGGGTGCAGGGAGGGGGGGGGAACTCACCCATTGGCCCCATGGGGCCGGGGGGGCCCATGGGGCCCACGATGCCCCCGGCTGCTTCGGTGAAGGTGTTGGAGAGCAGAGGGTCCCCTGCGGGAGATAAATGAGGGGGGGGGTGGGCGGTGACACCCCCAGGCATGGCACCCCACACCAGGGAGGCGCCCCCCACCCCTGTGGGCTAGAAAAAGAGGGGACCCCCCCCCCCCCACAAACCCCCTGAGAGCAGCGACAGGCGGAGCACAACCCCGATACGAGACAGCGGAGAAGCCACAGCAGGCGTTCTAGGGGGGCTGGAGCATCCCTCAGGGCCCCCCTAAGCCCCCCCCCCCAAAAAAAAAAAAACATCCTTACTTGGGTCAGTGAGCCGGGGGATGGCCGGCCCCACTGGGGGCGGGGGGCCCAGGGGGGCCGGGGGGGCCCCTCTCCCCAGGGAGTCCCCTGGCACCATCGCGCCCAGGGGGGGCCTGGGGGGCCAGGGGGGACCTGCGGGGAGGAAGAGGAGGATGAAGATTATTTTTTTTTTGGGGGGGGGGGCTGACCCCCCTCAGATATACGCAGCAGGAGGCTGGGGGACGCCCCCTTACCTGGGGGGGGTCCCCCCTTACCTGGGGGCCCCGAGGCTCCCCGTCCTCCTGCGTCTCCCTTGGGGCCGGGGGGGCCCCGTGAGCCGGGTCTGCCTGCGGGGGGGGGGGATGTGGGGGGGGAGCAGCACCCTCAGGGAAGCACCCCAGGGACCCTGCGCCCCGTTTCCTCGGGGGGGGTGTCCGTTTGTGTGTCCCCCCCCCTCGGTGCCCACTCCCCACTTACCGTCGCGCCCCGTGGTGGCTCCCCGCTGCGTCTCGCTGCCCCACGGGACCCCTGGGGTATTGTGGGGTGGGGGGGGGACGACACAGCATCAGTGCCACGGGACCCCCCCCCTTGGTGCCCCCCACCCCCTAATTCCATCCCCTACCTTCATCCCCGGGGCTCCCCTGGGCAGCCGGGGACCCCCAGAGCCGCCCGGTGTCCGCACCTTTGGGTGCTGGGGACGGGGGGGCTTCGGCCACCGACAGCCGGGCCACCTGCGAAGGAGATGGGGACAGCGAGGTGACCCCCCCCCGGGCTCCCACACCTATGGGGGGGCGAGGTGGTGGCACCCTGGGGTGGCACCGGGGGGGTCACCTGCGCCTCCAGGGTGGCCAGGCGTGCCGTCAGCTCCCCGACACGGCTGCAGTTCAGGCACCCTGCGGAGGAGAAAGTGGGGTGTAGGGCTCATGGGGGGGTGCCCACAACCCCCCCACACACACCTGGGGTGGTGGTGGGGTGTAAAAAGGGGGGGGGCACCGAGGACCCACCTGAGAAAGCCGTGGGGCGCAGGGGGGTCCGGCGCTGGGGCGCGGCGCTGGGGCGCGCGGTGTCGCGCAGCGCGAGGAAGGAGTGGGGGTCTGCCGAGGGGAGGGGGTGTCAGGGCCCCCCCCCCGAAACAGGCACAGACACCCCGTGGCCGTGGGGGGGGGGGGCTGGGGAAGTCTGCTGTGCGTCACCCCAAATTGGGGAGGGGGCTGCAGGGGCTGCCGCTGCTTCTGCCCCAAACCCAGCCACGGGACCCCCCCAAACCCCCCCATACCCGAGCCAGACCCATCAACCCCCCCCCGGACACACTGCAGCCCCCCCCATAACCCCAACATCCCCCCAACCCCCCCACGACCCCCATCCAGACCCCCCCAATCCCCAAACTGGCCCTGAAGCACCCCCCCAACCCCCTGGTACCCCAGTCCACCCCCCCCACATTGAGCCCCCCCCCCAAACCCCATTGGGGCTGGGTTTGGAGAGGAGGGGGGGGCACCACGAACAATCCAAACCCAACGTGGGGTCCCAACCTGGAGGGGGGGGGGGGACTCGGGGACATGGCTGGGGGCTGCCTGGCGCAGCAGGGGAGGGGGCTCCGGAGCAGGACCGACCCCCCCGTGTCCCCCCCCCGGCTGCCACCACACCCAGGCACGGCCACCCCCAGGGCTGCAGGGGACAGGCAGCGCCGCCCTAAGCGGGCCCAGATGTGGGGCACCCAGCCAGCGGCTGGGGGGGGGAGGAGGAGGAGCCCCCCCCCATCACCCCCCCCACCCCGCTGCTGCCACCCAGCTGGCTCCGGGCCCCCCCGGGTGTCCCCATCCCCTCCCCGTGCCACCCAGCTTTGGGGCTGGGGCCGTGTGTGTGTGTCCCCTCTGTGTGTGTCCCCTCTGTGTGTGTCCCCTTTGTGTGTCCCCCCCCCTCTGTGTGTGTGTCCCCCCCCCCGGCAGCTGCAGGCCCACCCATGGCACGGGCTGGCACCCATTCATTCGCCGCCCCGCAGGCACGGCTGCCGCACAGAGGGACAGACAGACAGACAGACAGACAGACGGACAGACAGGGGTCCCCTCGTGGCACACCGCGGGCAGCCCCCGCCCTGCCCACCAACCGTCCGTCTGTCTGTCCGTCTGCCCACCCCCCCCCCCCCATCTATCTGCCCATCTCTCCCACCATCCATCCTCCCGTCTGTCTGTCCAGCTCCCCAGCCCTTCATCTGCACACGGGAACTTCCATCTGTCTGTCTGTCCTTCCATCTGTCTGTCTGTCCTTCCATCCGTCCGTCTGTCCATCCACCCATCCACCCAGAGGAGCGTCCGTCTGTCCATCCATACCTCAATCCTTCCACCTCTCTGCCCACCCAGAGGTGCATTTGTGTGTTCTTCCATCCGTCCGTCCGTCCGTCTGTCCATCCACCCATCCGTGCTTCCACCCACCCACCCATCCGTCTGTCCATCCGGAGGAGCATCCCTGTGTCCTTCCGTCCATCCTCCCATCCATCTGTCTTTCCATCCACCCACCCAGAGGAGCATCCATCTAACCCTTCCTTCTGTCTGTCCGTCCGCCTGTCTGTCCATCCATCCGTCCATCTGTCCGTCCATCCATCCATCCATCCATGTGTCCATCCGTCCATCCATCCATCCATCCATCCATCCATCCATCCATCCCTCTGTCCATCTGTCCATCTGTCTGTCCATCCACCCACCCTAAGGAACATCCATCCATTTGTCCGTCTGTCCATCTCTCCGTCCGTCCGTCCATCCATCTGTCTGTCCGTCCAACCAACCTTCCTTCTGTCTGTCCGTCTGTCCGTCCATCCATCCATCCAACCATCTACCCATCCATTCATCCATCCATCCATCTGTCTATCCATCCATGTGTCCATCCATCCATCCATGCATCCATGCGTCCATCTGTCCATCCATCCCTCCCTCCACCCCTCCACCCACCCCCCCACCCCCCAGCATCCCCCACCTCTCCCCCTACCCCCCCATACCCCCCATACCCACCCCCTCCACCCCGGGGTGGGGGCTCCCCGGGACCCCCCCGTTCCCTCTCCCACCTTCCTCGCAGGTGGCCCCGCCGTGCCCGGGGCAGCACCTCCACTCCAGCGCCGTCACCGTCCTCAGGGCCACCCTGTACGCGGGCCGCACGACGGCGCGGTAGCTGCGGCACACAGCGGGTGCCACCGTCACCCCCGCGGGTGGCCGCGGCTGTCACCAACCCCCCCCCCTGGAGGGTCCCTGGGGGGGGTCCCTCACCTGCCCCCGCTGCAGGGCAGCGGCCAGCGGCAGCCCTGGAAGACGCGCTGCAGGAAGGTGCCGTTCTGCACCAGGCACGACACCGTCCTGGTCACGGCGTAGGAGCACCAGTTGCTGCAAGAAAAAGCCACCGGTGCCACCGCCGGTGCCACCACGGGGGTGATGGGAGCTGGTGTCCCCCTCCCCGTGCTCCTTGCTGTCCCCAAAAGCACCCCCGTGTGCCACCGGTGACCCCCAACCTCCCTGCGCCCTCCTGGTGATGCCTCCCCAGCTCGCAGAGTGTCCCCTATTGTCCCCCCCCAGCCTCCACGGGGCACGGAGGGGACCCTTGGTGGCCATGGGGCACGCGGGGGCCCCGCATTCCTGCTGCGTTCCCACCCACCCCACGCTGGCACCGGCTCGCCTGGAGCGGGGCCCCCTCCGTGCCCCCCACCCACCCCACACAAAGGCGCCTTTCTTTGGGTCCCCGGTGTCCCCACGCTGGCTGGGGGAGGACACACAAGTGGTGGGGACACACATGAGTGCCACAACGACACCGGGTGGCCCTTGGCGCCCCCCAGCCCGGAGGTGGCTGCCGCCCTCCCCGCAGGCACCACGATTTTGGGTGGAAAACGGAGCTTTTCGGAGGCCTGCGGGGAAGGAGGCGGCTGCGGCTGGTGGCGGCGGGGCGGGGGGGGGACAGACAATTGTCTGGGACGTGCCGGGGAGGGGGGGGGACACAGCAGGGTGGCACAGGGCTTTCCGGCCGGGCAGCGTCCCAGCTGGGCGCCGCGCCAGGGCCACGGCGGCACCGAGAGCCTCGGTGGCCAAAGCCGCGCGGTGACAGCGCCGGGGTGACAAATGCCAACGGGGTTGGGGCTGGGGGGGGGACATGGGATGCATCCCAACCCCATCACCCCATGGGGGATGTCCGTCTGCGCGGGCATAGCACGGTTTGGGGACGCTGCCAGCCCCGGCTGCGCCGCGGGGACGGGGACGCGCCCCGGCCCGTTTTGGCTGGCACGGAGAGCGGGGAGGGTGCCAGCGCGGGATGAAACCCCCCCAGGAGCGGGGCAGGAGCCGGCGGCGAGGCCGGGCCGGGCGTGCGAGGGCTCGCATGGCCTGGGCTGACCCGGGCCACCCGCTGCGGGGCCGCCACTCGTGCGCTGAGTGCGCCCGGGCTCTGCTCCCGGCGGTGCGCCCGAGCCGGCACCCCACGGCCTCGTGTGTTCCGTGCCCCGCGCCTGGGTGTGCGGGGCTCTGGCCCTGTGGGGTGGTGGGGGAGGATTTGAGGGGTCCCGCCGGGGTGGTTTTGGGGTGCCGGGGGGCTCCTGGCCTTGGCGGGGAGGGAAGGGGAAATGAGGTGGCTTCTGCCCGTCGCCGCGCCGAGCCGAGCGGAACCGGGAGGTCCCGGCAATCCGGTGCCGGAGACACGGCCAGCGCCAAAGATTTCCTGTAAACAACCCCCCCGCCGCGCCCCCCCCCAGGACAGGGACTGCGGGGACAGGGACTGGAGCCCCCCCACATCTCCCAGGCATTGGGGTGCCCCGATCCCCTCTGCTCCTGTGGCACGGGCAGGGCCTCAGGGATGGGGCCACTTGCCCCGCGCCAGTCCCAGCCCTGAGCCCCCCCAGCAAGCCCAGTCACCCCCAGTAAGCCCAGTCCCCCCCAGTAAGACCATTTGCCCCCCAGTAAAGCCAATTACCCCCAGTAAGCCCCAGCAAGCCCAGCGTGTCCAAGCACTTTGCACCCTGGTGGTTCTGGTAACTCCAGCAGCGATGCCAGCCCCAGTAAGCCCCAGTACTCGCCAGCACTCCCAGTAAACCCTGCCAGCCCTAGTAAGCCCCAGTACCCCCCAGCATTTCCAGTAAGCCCCGCCAGCCCCAGTACCCCCCCAGCACCCCCAGTAAGCCCTGGGAGCCCCAGTACCCCCCAGTACCCCCAACATTCCCAGTAACCCCTACCAGCCTCAGCACCCCCCAGCACCCCCAGTAGGCGCCCTGCCAGCCCCAGTACCCCCCAGTAACCCCCCAGTAACCCCCAGTCTGCAGCACCCCAGCCCCAAGCAGCCCCTTCTCCCTCTGGACCCTCCTTGGTGCCAACACCCCCATGCCCGGACCCCCCCCCAGCGCTGCTCTGCCCGGTCCCCGGTTCCCCCCCGGTCCCTTCCCGGTGCCCCCCCGGTGCCCCCCTCCCCGGTGCCCGGTACCTGCGGGGCTGGGGGCTCCAGGAGGCGGCGGCGGGGGGCAGCAGCAGGCAGCAGAGCCCCAGCGCCAGGGGCAGGGGCGGGCAGCGGTGCCCGAGCCCCCCGGCGAGCCCCCCCATTGCCGCTCCGCTGCGTCCCGCTCCGGCCCGCTCCGAGGGGGCGGCGCTGCCCGGGCACCGGGGGCGCGGGGAGGAGCGAGAGGAGGAGGAGGAGGAGGAGGAGGAAGGGGGAGGAAGGGGGGGGGGGGAGGAAGGGACCCCCCCCCACAGCCGCTGCCTTCCGCCCCGCCGGACAGGGGGGGCGCGATGTGGGGGGGCGCGAGGTGGGGGGTCGGGAGGGGGGGGGGGAGAGGTTTGGGGGGGTGTGGATATGGGGGTGGGGGGGGAGGCGTGTGTGGGGGGTGGATATGGGGGGGTCATGGGTATGGGGTCATGGATGGAGGGTCATGGATGGGGTGGTTAGGGATGGGGGGTCATGGAGGGGGGGTCGTGGATGGGGTGTCGTGAGTGGGGGGTCGCGGATGGGGGCTTCGTGGACGTGGGGGGTTCATGGATGAGGGTTTATGGATGGGGGGGGTTCATGGATATGGGGGTTCGTGGGTGGGGGGGTCGTGGATTTGGGGTTTGTGGATGGGGGGGGTCAGAGATGGCCCCGTGCAGTGTGAGCGGGGCTGTCCGCAGGTGGGAGCAGCCCCGTGGTGCTTGGCGTGGGGTGTGCACACGTGTGTGAGTGTGTGCACGTGTGTGCACGTATGGACATGTGTGCATGTGTGTGTGTGTGCACATGTGTGCACATCCATGCACTTTTTGTGCACCGTGTGTGCCTGCGTGCACGTGTGCTCCCGGCTGCTTGCCTGCGTTTCCACGTCCCCGTGTCCCCGTGTCCCCGTGTCCCCGTGTCCCCGTGTGTGCACGCACACGTGCAGGTGTGTTTGTGCGTCCGGCGGCTGTTTGTATACAGGTAGCAGCGTGTGTATGTTGGCCTGGGGCTGCGTCCGTCGGCGCGCCTGGCTCGCCCCGGCTGCGCTTCCGCTGCCGTGCGTGTGTGCACGTGTGTGGTCCGTGTGCCGGGGGTGTGCAAGGAGCAGGCGTGCTGCATGGGGCTGCGCATGGGTGGTCCCTGCCAGGGGCGTTGGTGTGCGGGTGTGCTTGGGGGGGGGCATGGGCAGCGTGTGGGTGGGTGTGCACATGTGTGTGGGTGCAGATGTGTGCAAACGTGTGCATGCAAGTGTGTGTGCCTGCATGTATGTGCACGTGTGTGTGCAACCTTGTGCGTGCACGTGTGTGCGTGCACGTGAGTGAGCATGGATGTGCGTTCATGGGTGTGCACATCCGTGTGTGTGCATGCAAGTGTGTGTGCATGCTTGTGCATGCAAGTTTTTGTGTGTGCATGCGTGTGTGTGCATGCAATTGTGTGCATGCGTGTGTGTCTGCATGTGTGTGCACACTCGCACGTGTGCAAGGCCCTGAGGTTTTTTTGGGGCCATGTCCCCATGAAGGCAGCGGGGAGCCCCAGCCCCACATTAATGCTTGGAGCAGGGGGTCCCCATGTCCCCCCCTGGCCATGTGGCGTGTCCATGTGTCCCCATGTCCCTGTGACTCCATGTCCCCCTGTCCCTGTGACCCCGTGTCCCTGTGACCCCATGTCCCCGTGTCCCCGCTGTCAGGACGGGGCCGTGCTGTTTACCCCAGCGGTGTGCAGAGCAGAGGAAGGTCACCTCACTCCTCCTCAGACTAAACACACCAGGGCAGATGTCCTGCACGTCCCCGGGGGGGGTCAGGAGGTGACACATCGCACAGTGGCACGTGGCACTGGGTCTGGGACAGTCTCCATCGTCCCCTGAAGGGACGGGGATTGGGTGCTGGGGGACTGCGGGCTCTGGGGACCCCCAGCATTGTCCCCACAGCAGGGCAGCCCCGCTCCCTGGCCCTGGCTCCATGTCCCCATGTCCCCATGTCCCCATGTCCCATCTCCGTGTCCCCACGTCCCCATGCCATATCCCAGGCAGGTACCCGGGCTCCGAGCCGAGCCAGCGGCAGCTGCAGTGCCACCGTGCCCCGTAGGCTGTCCCCAGCCTCCCAGCGCCCCCCCGGTCCCGCGTGGAGCCCCGTGTCCCCCCCCCACGGCGAGGCCACCAGGTGGCACTGCGAGGCCACCGCGCCCTGCCCAGCCCACGGACGTGGGGCGACAACCCCGTGGGGCGATGGACACAGAGTTGGGGGTGGGGGGCACCCACCGGCGCTGTCCCCAACCTGTCCCCAAACCCCCCCGGAGCCCTACACCCCCCCCCGTGCCTCAGTTTCCCCCCTCTCCATCACCCCCTACCCGGATGGGGACCCCCCCCTTTAACCCACGCGTGCGCCACCGTCACGGGTGGGGGGTCCCCGCCGAGAGCGCCCAGCCCCCGGTGCGGGTGCCCGCTTCCCCGGCGCGTGTCCCCGCTGCGGGTGCCCGCGCGGCCGTGCGCGCCGCCGGTGCCCGTGGCCGCCCGGCGCTGGCGGAGCGCTGCCGCCGCCGCCCGGCCCCGCTCCCGGTGCGGTTTTCGGGTCCCGCAGCGGCTGCGGCTGCCGGAGGTTAGCGGCGGGGGGGGGGCGCGGGCGAGGCCGGGCGGCGACGGCGGCGGCCATGGCGGGGCTGGGGGGGCGGCTCCGGGGGGAGCGGCGGCGGCGGCCGGGGGGTTACCGGGGGTACCGCGCACCGCGGGGAGAGCGCACGGCGGGGAGAGCGCACCGGGGGAGGGGGCTGCGCGCTGGGATTATCGTGCAGCGGGGGGGCTGTGCGCCGGGATTATGGTGCACCGGGGGGTGCCGTGCACCGGGGGGGCTGTGCAGCGGGGGTACCACGCACCGGGATCGTTGTGCACCGGGGAGGGGGGGGGTCGGTGCGCCGGGATTATGGTGCGCCGGGGGGTGCTGCGCGCACGGGGGGTGCCGTGCACCGGGATTATTGTGCTCCGGGATTATCGTGCGCCGGGGCTGCCGGGCACCGTGGGCACCGTGGGGCCAGGCCTGGCCTCTCTCCCTTGCCCCCCGTGGCCCACGGACCCCCGGGGGGGTCGTTGGCATTGTTGGGCCCCTCCGGTTCTTGCGGTGCTCGGGGTGCCGGTGGGTGCCGGGCGAGAGCGCGGGTGCACACGCGTGTGTGTGTGTGCGTGTGCGTGTCCCCGTGGGTGTTTGTTGTCGTGCTGCCGTGGGCCCCCCCGGCGTGCGTCTGCCTGTGTGTCTGTCTGCCTGCCTGTCCTGTCTGTCTGTCTGCGCGGGTCCCCGCTGCCTGTTTGTGTCACCGGGAGCGGGTGCCAGCGCGCGGCTCTGTGTCGCTCTGTCTGTCTGTGGCTCGGCGTGTGTCCGTGCAACAGCCCCCCCCCTCCATCCCATTCCATCCCTCGCACGGGGGCTGGGGGGCTGTGGCGGTGGGTTTGGGGCCGGATTGGGGGGCCGGGGGGGCTGGGACATGCGGCCCGGGCTAACCCCAGCCCGATGCCTGCAGTGCAGATCATAAATCAGCGCCGGCTGGAGCTGGAGGGCCGCGGGCTCCCCGGCACGCAGCCGCCTGTGTGGGGACATGGAACTCGCTGGCGTTTTGGTTGTCCCCCCCCGAGTCCCCCTGAGCCTTGGGAACAATTGTCCTCGCACCGCCTGTCCCCCCCCTGTCCCCTGTCCCCCTGCTCTGCTGTCACGCCCGGAGGGCTGGCAGCCAGCCCGTGCCACCCGGCTGTGGGCACAGCCAGGGCCTCCGCGGGGTGATGGGGACGGTCCCCAAGCTGTCACCGGCGAGGGCAGGGGCACGGCTGACCAGTGCCACGGTCCTGTTTTGCAGGTGACACCCCCGTGGCATCCTCGGAGCCGTGGAGCGACTGGTGACATTGTCTGGGCCTGGAGGAGGAAGAGAAAGAGAGGGTGCTCGGTGTCACTTGTCCCCAGTGTCCCCACCGAGCCTGGGGGACACGGAGCCAGAGCCGGAGCTGTGCCCGCGGTGCCCGATGCCCGGTGCCGGCTGATGGATCGCCCTGGCGCGGCGCAGCAGCGGCCCCGGTGGAGCAGGACCGGGTGCCCCGGGGGGCTGGGTGTCACCTCCCTCCCCCGCTGAGCTCCAGAGCCGGTGGGAGCAGCGAGCAGGGACGAGGACATCTCATCCCCTGCCACCAAGACACGCGTCCCTGTGCGGAGCATGGCGCGCTGCTGAGCTGCCGGCCCCGGCCATGGCGCGGCAGGGAGCGGGGGCCCTGCTGGCCTCCGGCACTTTGGGGTTCCCCCCCCAAAACCTGGCCCGCGTGGTGGTCTGGGAGTGGCTGAACGAGCACGGGCGCTGGCGGCCCTACTCGGCCGCCGTCTGCCACCACATCGAGAACGTGCTGAAGGAGGACGCCCGCGGCAGCGTGGTGCTGGGCCAGGTCGACGTCCAGCTGGCGCCCTACGTCATCGACCTGCAGTCCATGCACCAGTTCCGGCAGGACACGGGTAAGGGGAGGTGCTGGGATGGGCGGCCGGGGGTCTGCCGGGGGTGGATGGCAGGGGATGGGTCCGTCTGTCCCAGGGTATGTCCGTCTGTCCGTGTCCTCGCTTTGCTGCTTCATTCGCTCCTTCCTTCCGTTGTTCCATGCATGCGCCCACCCGTCCCAGCGTAGCACGGTGTATTTGTCCAGCATTACATTCGTGTGTCTGTCCAGCCAGGCCTCCTGGTGTGTGTCTGTCATTCCATCCATCCACCTGACTGACCATCTGTCCGTCCGTCCGTCCGTCCATCCATCCATCCATCCATCCAGTTCTCCATCCATCTCCATCTCCATCTCCATCTCCATCTCCATCTCCATCTCCATCTCCATCTCCATCTCCATCTCCATCTCCATCTCCATCCATCCATCCATTTATCTGTCCGTTCATCCAGCTCTCTACCCATCCATCCATCTGTCTGTCCACCCACCCATCCACCCACCCACCCACCCACCCACCCATCCATCCGTCCGTCCATCCATCCATCCACCCACCGCCCCACCTGTCCATCCATCCATCCCCTCCCCATCCATCTGTCCATCCCATTCCCCCTTGTCCTCCCCTGTCCCCCCTGGGCCCACTCCCCACCGCAGCCCCCCCAGAACTCCCTCTCCCCATTCCCTTCCCCCCGGAAAAGGCCCCACTTTGGGGGCTGTGGGGGGGCTGTGGCCACGTGCCGCCCCCCCGGCTGGGCCACACAACCAGGACAGGCGTCCTCGGGGAAATCACGCCCCATCCCGCGCCGCCTCCCGGCCCAAACCCCATTAACCATGACCCACTAAACCAGCACGTGCTGGCTGCGCCCTGGGGGACTCACTGGGGACGAGTGATGGGGTCTGGGGGTGGTGTGGGACCCTTGTGGGTGTGCGCCCTGCTCGCCTGAAAGGTCCCCAAATGTCCCATTTCCCGGTGCTGGGTGCTCCCGGGGACACGTGCCTGTGCCGGGGTGGGTTTGGGGTGCAGCGTGCCACCGGAGCGGGTGCTGCAGGCTGTCCCCTGCCGAGGTGACATGTCCATGGTGCTTGGGGACATGAGGGGCCATGCTGGAGGTCCTGCTGGTGCCACTCCAGCGTGGGCTGGGACGCTGGGGACCGGGGGGGAGCTTGGCACAGGGAAAAAGCCATGGGTGTGGAATGAGGTGACCCCGTTCCGAGCAGCAGGGGGGTGCACCCGCGGGACATGGGTGGGACGTGGGCACGAGCGGGCAGCAGGAGGAGGGACGTGGATACGGGGAGGCCGTGGGGTGTGGGAGGTGGGGGCAAACACCAGCGGGAGGCGGGGCATGGATGTGAGCGGGACGTGGACGTGAGCCAGCAGTGGGGTTTGGGACGTGGACATGAATGGGCAGCGGGATGTAGGGCACGGCTGTGAGCGGGGTGCGGTGTGAGCAGGCAGAGGGTTTGGGGTGAGGACCCGAGTGGGTACGGGCTGCTCTCGGGGGGCTGCGGCAGCACGGACCCCCCCACGGGGCCACGGGCAGCGCTGCCTCAGCACCAGGCGGCAGCTGGGGCCAGGCACTGCTGCCTGCCCGGCTGGTGATTAATGGCCCTTATTAGAGTCGTTAATAGGGCTGGGCAAACGCTGCCGGCCGGGGATGGAGGCGCAGCGTGCTGTCTGAGCAGGGCACGGCGCGGCCAAGGTGCAGGGGCACGGGGCTGGGGGCTGCAACGTGGTCTGGGCGAGCTGTGAGGCTGCTGCCGAGACCATTTTGGCTGCAAATAAATAGGGAGGGAGCAGAACTTGGCTTTGCACGGGGGCCGAGCCGAGGACAACGCCATGACAGCAAGCCCTGGTTCCCAGCTGTCAGGAAACCCCTCCTGACCGGGAAATGTGTCCCCAGCCAGGGACGTGTGGGCTGAAGGGATGGAAAAAGGTGCTCGGGGTCGAGCAGCATCACCCTTCCCTCAGCCAGGACGTGGTGTGGGAGCGCGAGCACCGCCGTGACCGCTCCACGAGTCCCCGGGGAGGGCTGTGCAGGCAGCAGCGCGCTGCAGACACCGCTATCGATCGCTCCCGGTGGCTGCGGGTGGTTGTCCTGCACCCTGCGGGGCTTCGTGCCCAAAATCCCTTTCCCCCGGAGGGGGGGTGGCTGGTGGGCTGGGAGCAGCCCAGGCGGGCGCTGAGCCCCGTGTCCCCGCAGGCACCATGCGCCCCGTGCGCAGGAACTTCTACGACCCGTCCTCGGCGCCGGGGAAGGGCATCGTGTGGGAGTGGGAGAACGACAACAGCTCGTGGACGCCCTACGACATGGACATCTGCATCACCATCCAGAACGCCTACGAGAAGCAGCACCCGTGGCTGGACCTCTCCTCCCTGGGCTTCTGCTACCTCATCTACTTCAGCAGCATGTCGCAGATGAACCGGCAGACGCAGCGCAAGCGCCGCCTGCGGCGCCGCATGGACCTGGCCTACCCGCTCACCATGGGCTCCATCCCCAAATCCCAGTCGTGGCCGGTGGGCGCCAGCACGGGGCAGCCCTGCTCGTGCCAGCAGTGCCTGCTGGTCAACAGCACCCGCGCCGCCTCCAACGCCATCCTGGCCTCGCAGCGCCGCAAGCTCTACCCCGGCGGCGCGGGGACGTTGCCCGTGCGGCAGAGCAGCACCTTTGCCGGTGGCACGCTGTGGCCGGCGGGGACGGGGACAGCGGCGGGCGGCGTGGCCAAGGGGGAGACGCCGAGGGCGCCCGTCGGGGCTTTTGGGCGCAGCCAGAGTGCGCCCAGCGGTGCGCAGCTGCCCGGCCTCAATAATCTCAACCGGCCTGGCACGCAGCGGGGGGCCGGCGTCAGCGCCCGCGCCGCGGTGCCCCCGGGGTAAGCCGGGGATGGGGAGGGTGGCCCCGGGAAGGGGACGTGTGTGGTGTGGCTGTGGATGCTGGGTGGGGTGGCACAGGGTGGCGGCACGGCAGAGGGGAGGGGAGGTGGCATGGGATGTGTTGTTGTCTGGTGGAACAGCACCAGTTGTCACCACTCGGTCACTGTGTCACCGCCAGGCGTGGGGACGTGGTGGCACATCCCCGTTCCTTGGTGCCCGTGCCCGGGGCTGTGGAGATTTGTGCTGTGCCGTGCCGTGCCATGGCACTGTGCCACTCCATGCCGTGCTGTGCCACTCCGTGCCACGCTGTGCCATGCCACTTTGGCTGGAGGAGATGTGGTGCCAGCTCCCAGGGTGGTTGTGTCCCCACTGTCCAGCATGGCGTCTGTAACCCCAGAGTGTCCCGGTGCCACCAAGCAGGGCTGTGGGGCACTCGTGGTTATGGGCACCGCAGCCTGGTGTCCCCTGTGCCGAGGGAATGTCACCGAGGCCAGCAGCACGTTGGCCATGTCCCCATGGCCGTATCCCTCTGTGGGTTGGCCAGGGGTCCCCGCGGGGCTCTGGGCACGGGGCTGTCACCAACCAAGGGACAGCAGGGGACAGTGGATGGATTCTGGGAGCCGGGAACCAGCCCGGATCCAGACCCCAGCTATTGGGTGGGAGCTGCCAGGAGGGGAGTGAGCACCCGGGCTGTCACTGAGCCCTCTTGGGGGGACAAGGGGAAGGAAATCCTGTCCCATCCCTCCCCACCTCCTGCCACCACGGGCTGGGAGGTGCAGCGGGACAGCCCTGTGCAGTGACGGTGACAGCGCGCCGGGTGCCACCTCCGCTCTGGGGCGCGTGCCGTGGGAACACCTGCTGGCCCCCGCCCCGCGGATGTGCCTGTCCCCTGGGACTGGGGTGCAGAACAAGCACTGTGGGGCTCCGTGGGGCAGCTGGGGGCATTGCCCAGTGTGGGGACATCCCTCTGTGTGTCCCCCGCTGCCCGTGACCGCAGCCCACAGCCGGCTGGGGCAGGGGACGTGGCGGTGAGGTTGGGGACGGGGGGGCACGCAGGGTCGCCGAGCCCCCGCCGTGTTTCCTTCCTCTGCTGACGCGCTGCTTTCGCTTCCGTGTGCTGAGGCCAAGCTGTCCCCGTCCCTGTCCCCGTGCCAGCACGCAGCCCCCGTCCTGCGTGGCCCCATGGACAGGTAGGAGGGGACGAGGAGCGCCAAGGCCACCGCTGTCCCCTGTAGCCTTGGCGGTGCCGCGGTGTGGCCGAGGGTGGGTTTGGGGACCATGGGGACACCGCAGGTGGGGGCAGGCACGGTTATAGGATGGCCCAGGGTGTCTGGGGGGGGCAGAGAGGGGACAGATCCTGCCTGGGGCTGGGGTCTTGTGCCTGCGTTGTGGCCACGGGGTTGTGCGTGGGGACGTGGGGGTCAAGGGGGGGGATCACGCCCAGCTGGTCACGTTTGGGAGCGGGAGAGGTGGCCGGGAGGGCACTAAAAGAACTGCTGCGGTGTGGGGGGCTCTCCCCAAGCCCCCCCCAGCCACCAGCAGCCATCCTGGGGCAGGACAGCGCCCACCCACCCGTGGGCACAGCCGCCTCCACCTCCGCCACGAGCCCCCAGGGCGCACTGAGCGCACGGGGACGCGCACAGAGGATGCACGCATGGGCGCACGCGGGCACGGTGACACCCCCATGGCCACGTGTGCCACCCCCCTTTCTCCCTTAGGTGCATGTCACCCCAACGGTGCCACTGAGAGGGCAGGGCCAGGGGACATCTCTCCACGGGGCTCACAGGTTCCCGAGGCCACCACTGCCACTGTGGGAGCTGTTGGGGACGAGGAGCACCCACCCGCAGCCCCCGCTGGGTGCCAGCAGGGTGCCCGGAGTGGGGGCAGTGCCCGGTGTCCTCTCCTTGGGGCTGGCACCCTCTGGGGCAGCAGGGAGGACACACACCGTTGGGTCCCCAGAGGTGGTCACACCTACAGCACGGTCACATCCCCTTGTGCCACAGCAGTGTCCCCAGGGTGCCAGCGAGGCTGGCGAGGGGACACCCTGCCCCACACCCCACCCTGGGGACGTGCCACGTGCCGGGGGGACAGCGCCAGCCCCGCTGAGCCCCTTCCCTCCCCTCTCTGCGCAGGGTGCCAGCACTCCCCGTCAAGAACCTGAACTGGCACCGGCCCCGTCCATCCCGCCCTGGCAGGTAACGGGGTGGGGGTGCCACCACGAGCACCCAAGGGTGCTCCAGGGGGGTGGGCCAGCGATGGGGGGGCCATGGCCTTGCAGACAGCGCTGCCTGTCCCCTCGCAGGGATGACGGGCATCCTGATGTGTGCCGCCGGGCTGCCCGTCTGCCTGACCCGTGCGCCCAAACCCATCCTGCACCCGCCGCCCGTCAGCAAGAGCGACATCAAGCCCGTGCCCGGGGTCAGCGGCATCTGCAGGAAAACCAAGAAGAAGCACCTCAAAAAGAGTAAGGAGCTGCCGGCGATCCCCTAAACGGGGAGAGGGGGCAAGGTGGGCAGGCTCTGACCGGCATCTCCCCACCCATGGCAGGCAAGAACCCGGAGGATGTGGTGCGGCGCTACATCCAGAAGGTGAAGACCCCCCCGGATGAGGTGAGTAGGGTCGGGTTGGCACGTCGGGAGGGCAAGGGATGGGTAGGGAGGGTGACAGCCGTGCCCCCCATCCCGTCCCAGGACTGCACCATCTGCATGGAGCGTCTCGTCACCTCCTCGGGCTACGAGGGCGTCCTGAGCCACCGCGGCATCAAGCCGGAGCTGGTGGGCAAGCTGGGCAAGTGCGGGCACATGTACCACCTGCTGTGCCTCGTGGCCATGTACAACAACGGCAACAAGGTGAGACCCGCCTGGGGACACCGTGGGGGCCGTGTCACCCGCTCTGGGTGGGTGGCACAGGGCTGGGCACCCATGGGTCCCCATGCCCACCCCGTGTGTCCCCGCAGGACGGCAGCTTGCAGTGCCCCACCTGCAAGGCCATCTACGGGGAGAAGACGGGCACGCAGCCCCCCGGGAAGATGGAGTTTCACCTCATCCCCCATTCCCTCCCGGGTTACACCGACTCCAAAACCATCCGGATCGTCTACGACATCCCCACCGGCATCCAGGTGAGCTGCCCACGTCCCCCAGGACCCCCATCCTGGTGTCCCCGTGCCTCCCACTCACCCCTCTGCTGTCCCACCAGGGTCCGGAGCACCCCAACCCTGGCAAGAAGTTCACGGCACGCGGCTTCCCGCGGCACTGCTACCTGCCCGACAACGAGAAGGGCAGGAAGGTGAGCGTCCCCAAATCCCCGGGGGTGGCGTGGGTGCCTGGGGTGGGGATGTGCCCGCGTGGGTATGGTCCCAGGGGTCAGCCCCGCGCATCCTTGGGGTGCCCATGCCCAAGGGGAGGGACGCAGCGGTGGCCGTGCCGCAGGTGCTGAAGCTGCTGATCGTGGCCTGGGACCGGCGGCTCATCTTCACCATCGGCACCTCCAACACCACGGGCGAGTCGGACACGGTGGTGTGGAACGAGATCCACCACAAGACCGAGTTCGGCTCCAACCTGACGGGTCACGGCTACCCCGACCCCAACTACCTGGACAACGTCCTGGCCGAGCTGCTGGCCCAGGGCGTCTCCGAGGCCACCCTGAAGGACTGAGGCCGGGGCGAGGGGCTCCCCGCCACCCCCATCGGCCCCACGCCGCCAGTCCCCACCGCCCGCGCCGCTTCGCCGCCGACGCCGCAGCCCTGCCGGGTGGGCTCACCCCCCTCCGGTGCCACCCGCCGCGCGTCCCCGTCCCCATCCCGGCTGGCCACCAGCGCGGCGGGCTGGTGCTTTGCGCCGCTGTCCACCCGTGGCCCCTTCGCGCGTGAGCCGCCGCGTGCCGCCTGTGCCACCCGCCGCCGCCCCACGGAGCCGCGTCCAAGCCGGTGCCATGTGTACGTCTCGGTGTTACTCAATACACGCCACGCCGTGTCCCGCTGCGTCCCCGCACCGCGCGCCCTCGCGCCCGTGCCGTGCTGGGGACGGGGTGCTGGGTGGCACCGCCGCGGGGGGGTGTCCGTCCCCCAGGGGGTGAGGCTTGGGGACACGCCGTGGGGACACGGGGCTGTGGGGAGCCTTAGGGGGTGGCTGAGTGTGTGTGTGTGCACACTCGTGTTCGTGCATGCCGTGTGCGTGCACACGTGTGCTGCGTGTGTGTGCACAGCCGTGCGCTCACAGCCACACCAACGTGCACACGCGCTCTTCCACGCGTGCCCGCACCCCCGTGGAGATCTCACCCCCTCACCCCCCCCAAATCACAGCAGCGCTGCCACTCGTGTCCCATGCACCACAGCCCACGCGTGGCCCCTGCAGCCCTTGCACACCCAGCCGTGCACCCCGCGGCCTCCTGCGTGTCCGTGGGACGCCCCCGCTGCGCTGTCCCCGCGTCCACGGGGGCAGCGGAACGGAGGAAGGCGGCGAGGACTACAACTCCCAGCGTGCCTTGCGGCGCAGGGCAGGGCCGGCCGGGCCCCCGGCGGCGCAGGGCATGCTGGGGGCTGTAGTCCCAGCCGGCGCCGCGGTGCCACCACCCTTCAAGTGGCGGGTGGGGGGACCGCGTCCGTGTCCGTGTCCGTGTCCGTGGGCGAGCTCGCGGCGCCGTGGCGGCGAGCAAAAGCCTCGTGGGCGATGTCCAGGTCCCGCAGCACCTCCTGCAGCCGCCCCCACGCGGCTCCTCCTGCGGCACCGGCAGCGTCAGCGCCCACCCGCGACCCCCGGCCCCCACTCGCGACCCACGCGTCCCCCACGGGTCGCCGCGTCCCGTCCCGCTGCGCCCCACGCACCCCCTCCCGCACCCCCACGGCGTGGCCAAAAGGACCGCGTGGCGAGCGTGGGGCACCCGTGTGCGATGGGGATGCCCGCGTGGGCGCGCGTCTGCCCCACGCACCCCCCCGTGCGCGTGTCCGGCTGCTGGCTGCTGAGCGCGCACCCTGCCAGGCGCGGCCCCGCGTGCGTGTGCCCGCGGGTGTTTGCTGTCCCCTAGCGGAGGAGACACCCGCTGGGTGCGCACACGCGTGGGTGTGCACGCGCGCCCGTGCGTAATTACGCGCGCCTTGCCGGGGTGGGGGTCCCCGCGCGCCCCCCGTGCGCCCCTACCTCCCTGCCCCGCCTGGGGGGGCTCCATCGCCGCACCGCCCTCGGGCCCCCCCTCTGCTGCCTCCCTGCAAGGACAAGGACCCTGAGCCATGCCGGGGGGGCACCCATGGGTGCTGGGCACCCCGCAGCCCCCCCCCCCTCCCCGCCTCACCGCAGCCGTGTCCCCCGCTGCCCGGAGGTGCCCGTAGAGGCTCTGCGCCGCCGCCGCGGGGTCCAGGGGGTCGCTCCACTCATCCAGAGCCACGGCACCGTGGGTCCTGCTGCAGCCGGGTGCTGCCCAGGAGGATCTGGGTGGGTGGGGGGGTCCTGCTGGGGAACCCCTCCCACACCCACACACCCCACCCATAGGTCCCTGGCCTTACCGGTGCGGGCAGGCTGCAGGCAGCAGGACCAGCGGGTGGCACGGAAGGCACCGGGGTGGCAAGTGGGCAGCATGGTCTGGTTGGTGCTGCTGGCCTGCCGCAGTGCCCACAGCCACTGCCACAGCTCCTGCGCGCCCTGCGGGGACACGGGGTGGGGGTGGCACCCAGCGGGTGTCCCCCCCCGAGGTGCCAGAGGTCACGGTTCCACCCCGCAGCATCCCCAAAGGGGTGGCACCGCGGGGACAGCAAGTGGCGGTTTGATGGCAGAGGGGTCGGGGTTGGAGATGGGGGGGAGGTGGCACTGTGGGGGCGGGGATGGTTCCCCAGTGGTCCCAGTATGGACAGGGATGGTTCCCCAGTACACCCAGTACAGACAGGGTTGGTACCCCAGTGATCCCAGTATAGACAGGGCTGGTTTCCCCATGGCCCTAATATAGTTAGAGGTGGAATCCCGGTGACCCCAGTATGGATAGAGTTGGATACCCCAGTGACCCCAGTACAACTGGAGTGATGCCAGTAGGGATATAGCTGGATACCCCAGTGACCCCAGTACAATAAGAGCCGATAGCCCAGTGACCCCAGTATGAATACAGCTGGATACCCCAGTGATCCCAGTACAATAAGAGCCGATAGCCCAGTGACCCCAGTATGAATATAGCTGGATACCCCAGTGATCCCAGTACACCTGGAGTGACCCCAGTGCAGATATAGCTGGATACCCCAGTGATCCCAGTATGACTGGAGCTGATAGCCCAGTGACCCCAGTACGGATACAGCTGGATACCCTACTGATCCCAGCACAGGTTGGGCAGGCACCCCAGTGACCCCAGTACAACCAGAGTAGGATACCCCAGTGTTCCCATACAACCAGGGCTGGCACCCCACTGTTCCCAGTACAACCAGTAGAGCTGCATTTGGGACTGGGACTATTCCCACCACCCCCAGGCACTGCTCGCTTCCCCCTGGGCTGGTTGCTGGTGTCCTGGGCGGGGGCACTGGAGGGTGCTGGGCTTGGAGGGGGGTGTCCCCAGTGTCCCAAGGGTGTGGGGTGGGTGCCCCCACCTTGCACTGGATGTAGGTGGTGCGGAGCTGCCCGGCGCCGTCCTGCGCCACCACCTGCATGACGTGGGGCTGCGGGAAGGTGCCCTCGTCCACGCGCTCCACCGCCCGCATCTGCGGCACGGGGATGCGGCAACGCGCCTGGGGACCCTGAAATGGAACAGGTCACTGTGCCCACAGCCCTGACACCCACCGGCGGGGTCGTGGAGGGGGTCGTGGGCAGCACCCACCTGCCCCTCGGGGGTCTTGGAGTAGGACAGAGCCTCGGCGCTGAGCCAGAAGTACCTCTTCTTGAAGGCGGAGCGGGGCAGCAGCGAGGAGGGCTCCTCGGCCTCGCGCACGTGCAGGAAGCCCTCCTTGATGGTGGCCGTGGGGCACAGAGGTGCCACCAGCACCGGCTCCTCGCCCGCTGCGGCCGTGGCATTGAGGTGGGGGCATCACCTCGGGGTGCCACCGCCTCGCCCAGCCCGAGGATGCCCCAAAACCGGAGCTTGAATTCCCCCCTTAAATGGGGAAGCACCCCTCGGGGTCCTGGGGGATTTTGTAGGGTTTGGTGCCACCCTCACCCCCCGGTACCACGCAGGGGGTGCCCGGCGTGCCCCGGGTGCTCACCGTGGGTGCCATCCACCTCCACCAGGCTGTCCAGGAAGGCTTTGACGCGGGTGATGCTGGGCAGCAGCACGGCGTGCAGCGGGGCCATCCAGGGCTCCTTGCCCAGCTGCAGCCCCAGGTTGCCGATGCTCTGCAGCGCCTGCCCCGCGCGGGAAGGGCTCACGCTGACGGGTCCCGTCCCCAACACCCGGTGCTTGTCCCCCCCACTATGTCCTGTCCCCCGTGGGAGTGGGAATTGGGGGAGGAAAATGGGAAAGGGAGGTGGCACGGGGTGGTGGGACCCAAGCAGGCAGCGCTGCCCCGTGCTCGGTGCATGGTGACAAGTGGGGTGGGTCATGGCATGTGGCATGGGGACAGGAATGGCTCTGCCCTCCCTGCGGTCCCTGTCCCTCCCTGGGGTCCCTGCTCCCTTATGGGAAACCTTTCCCTCCCCTGGGTCTCCCTGCCTCTCTGGGGTCCCCTTCCCTCAGTGGCATCCCCGTTGCCTCCAGGGGTCCCTGTCCCTTCTGGGCTCCCCATCCCTCCTTGGTGTCCCTGTCCCTCCTGGGTGTCCCCATCCCTCCCGGGTGTCCCTGTCCCTCCCCGATGTCCCCGTCCCCGGGCTCCCCACACCTTGGCGAGCAGCAGGAGCGTGCGGCCGGTGCGCGGGTCGGCGTGCTGCTCCCGCAGGCCGAAGAGTTTGGGGGTGAGCACAGCGGGGGCGAAGAAGCGGAGGAAGAGGAAGCCGCTGATGGAGAAGTAGCGCACCTCCTGCTGGGGCAGGGGGACAGAGCTCGGGGCTCGGCCACCTCCTGGCACTTTGTGGCCCCCCCCTGGCCCCGCCGTGGCCCCCACCTCGTGCTGCTCCGAGGGGAACTGCTCCTCCACCCGCCTGCGGAGCTGCTTGAAGGCCGCCCTCATGAGCGGGGGACACTTGTCCACCGAGCCCACGATGGCATCGACCGTGTCCCCCAGGTAGCCCTGCAGCAGCCCCAGGCTGCTCTCCCGCACCTGCGCCTCCGACAGGGACCCCTTGAAGGAAATCCTCCTGCGGGGACACCGCCGGCTCGCCACCGGGATGCCCGCTGCAGGGGGTGGTCCCCATCCTACAGGGGGACACCGGGACGGGGATGTGTCCCCACACTCGCCTGCCGCGGCTCAGCTCCATCTTGCAGGGGTCCAGCTCCACGTACTTCTTCTCCTCGAAGACGCGGTTCACCACGGGCTTCAGGACCTCAGTGCAGGTAGGGCAGCCCCACCACCTGGTGGGACACGAGTCACCCTCCTTGTCCCCGAGCTGTCCCTGGCGCCGTGCCATGTGTCCCCATGTCCCCCTCCCTTGCTCACCTTCATGAACATCTCCACGGACTTGGAGGCCAGCGAGTTGGAGCGGAACAAGGTGTTGGGGTCCGCTGGGAGGCAGCAGGACAGTCCCGTGTCCTCCTTGGTGGCCCCGCTCTGCCTCCCAAAGGGGGTTTTTGGGGAGGGGGCAGCCAGCCCCCAGCACTTACTGGTCCTGGCCAGCTCGTGGGCGATGAGGTAGTCCAGGAAGGGCACAGGCCAGCCCCTGCGCCAGGAAGATCTTCACCAGCTTGGTGGCCACGTCCTGCCGGCTCTCCCCCGAGCTCACCTCCTCCAGGACAGCCAGGGCTGTGCCGGCTGGGGGCTGCGGGGAGGGCAGGGTGGGCAGGGGGCCGCCGCAAGGCTTGGGGGGGGGACGAGGGTGGCACCCACCTGGCCCGGGCAGCGGATGGGCTCGGCGAGGAGCTGGATGAGGGGCTGGTAGCAGTGTGGGGGCAGCACCTGCTCCTCCACCAGCCTCACCGCCAGCCGCAGGGACCCCAGGCGCCCCCTGCAACGACACCACGAAGGGAGAGGCTGGGACGGATCCTGACACGCCCCCCCCGCCCCCCCTGGCACCCTCATGCCTCTCGTGCTCACCCCGGCTCCTCGGCGCTGCTGGCGAAGGGCAGGAGCTGGAACCAGCCCTTGGTGGCACCCGGGGTGCCCACGGGGAGCTCGACCTGGGTTTTTGGGAGGAAAGCTGAGCCAAAGGGGGGGGGGGCGCACACCGTGGCACCGGTGCCCCCCGCGCCCCCCGAGGCCCTCACCCGTCCCAGGAAGTCGTTCTTGCCCACCATGTCCCAGTCCCACACCTCCACGCTCAGCACGGCGTCCCCCAGCTCGCCCTCGGCCAGCTCGAACTCCAGCACCTCGTCCCAGCGCGGGAAGCGGGTTTTCTTAATCACCTGCGGGGACAGGGCCGGTGGAAGCAGGGGACGAGGTCCCCATGGGACCCCCCAGCCTTTGGGGACATCCCCCCTGGTGTCACCACCCGGACTCACAGCCGTCTCCTGCGTGTGCCCGCAGCACGACACCCGGGCGAAGGGGTCCGAGGTGCCCGAGGGGTCCCGGGGCGCCAGGTCCCTGCGGGAGGGTGGGGGTGCAGTGAGGTGGCACGATGGCACCGGGGGGGGGTTCTGGCACCCTGTCCCTGGGTGAGGGGGGGGCAGGTGGCCCAGCGGGGGACGCTGCTGTCCCTCCTGGCTGTCCCCGTGGCCATCCCGTTGCCTTGGTAGCCGCTTTGGTAGCCATGGCAGCGGGATGCTGCTCCTGCCTCTGCCAGCTGCCTGCGGGCGCGCGGGCACGCACAGCCACACGTGTGCACACGTGTGTGAACACACACACACACGTGTGAGCACACACACACACGTGTGAACACACACACACACGTGTGCACACGCACACTGCCACCCCAAAACCAGCAGCCCCCTCCCAGCCCACCCCAACGCCACCCACAGCCTTCGGGGTGTGCCTCAGTTTCCCCCCAGCTTACAGCCAGCGGGGTCAGACGCGGCGCGTCCCCTTGTCTGTCCCACCACCATCCTCACCACGTTCACGGCTCCGCCGACCCCCACCAGCCCAAAATGAGACCCCGGTGTGGGTGCAGCCCCCACCCCCAGCACCCCTGGGTGCCGCTACCTGGCCCCGATGAGGTGACAGCGCAGCACCCGCGGGTGGCCCTGCTCGGGCACCTGCACCTCCAGCTGGATCTCGCCCTGCACCTCCTCGTCGGGGTCCACGGGCGCCAGGCTGAGCCAGCTGTCGATGCCTGCCGAGGGGGACGGGGTGGGCACCAGCAGCACGGGGACGACCCCTTTGGGCCCCCCCCAAAAAATCCCCGAAACCCCCTGGCTCACCCCGCGGCTGAGCCGAGATCTGCTGGTGGCTGAGCGACACCTTGCCGATCACATCGTCGTGCCTGCAAGGGGGACACCGATGGGGACGGCCACCCTCGGGTGGCAGAGCCTCAATGCCACCCCCTGGACCCCCCCAACGACCCCGCTGCCCCCCTACCCGATGGTGTCTTCGTCCAGCACGTAGATGGCGAGGCTGCGGAAGCCGCGGGGCAGGCGCAGGGTGTACTCCTCGCCCCAAAAAGGGTTCAGGCTCTTCCACACCGTGGCCGTCCTGCGGGCGCGGGACCCCCGTGGGCACATGGAGGGGAAGGAGGGGGTGCGCCCACCCCCCCCCACAAAGTCCCCGTGTCCCCTCTCCGAGCGGGGCACGCTCCCCTACCTGGCCACCACCTCGTTGTCCACCTTGACCACGCAGTAGGGATCGCTGGAGCCGGAGCTGGGGGTGGGAAGGGGACGGGGGACGGGGGTCAGCACCCCAGGGTGCTGCTGGGGGGGGGGCTCCTCAGCCGGACCCCACAGCTGGCACCCTCCACGGGGTCGGCACTGTGAGCTTGGGGACCCCGGGGCCACCCCGAGCCGCTTGTCCCCATGTCCCCAGGTGTCGGTGCCTGGTGGTGGCACCGAGCCCTGAGTTTCTGTAGCAACCTGGGCTCGGGGCTGGGGCGGTGTCAGGGTGACACGGTGACACGGTGACACGGTGACACCCACTTTTCCCTGGCCCAGGGCCCTCCCGGCCTTAACCCTTTTCCAGCAGGGGTGGAAAAGCAGCCCCCGTGCCCCAGGACCAGGGGACGAGGGACGGATCCTGCCTCTTCCTCCCTGGTGGGTGCCCCGCACCCTCCTGCTGGGTGCTGGGGGCGCGGGGCAATGCCGGGGCCCCCCCAATTCCCAAACCCCCCACTCCCGAGCCCCCCACCCCGGGGCAATGCTCAGCCAGGAGCTGGACCCCAAAGGAGGTGCCCCCAGCCCCAAAGACAGGGACGGTCCCGGTGGGGACCCCCTGGCTGCATGCCCTGAGATCGGGGCACCCCAAAAGGTCCCTGGGGGGGCTGCGCACCCCAAGAGCGCTGCCACAGCCCTGGGGGAACGCCCCGAGCCCCCCCCTTGCTGGGGGGGGGCAGCAAAAGGGGTGGGGGGCTCAGCCTTCAGCAGACCCCCCCATGAGGGAAACGGATCCCTGGCAGCAAAGGGGAGCGAGTGGGGAGCCCCAAAACCGGGGGGAGAGCAGAGCCCACCCAATTCCATGTCCCCCATGGGGTGGGGGGGGCAGAGACCCCCCCCCCTCCCCCCCGGCAGCACTCACACGTCCTTGGCGGGCAGATCCTTCCCCTCCAGCACCCGGCAGCGCAGCGAGGTGCTCTTGGCCATGCTGGCATGGCACCTAGGGGTCCATGGGGGGGGGGGGCTGCAAGGTTTGGGGGGGGGCAGCAAGGCCCTGCTTCCTCCTCCTCCTCCTCCTCCTCCTCCTCCTCCTCGCTGCGTCCTTCCTCGGTTTGTTCCGGAGCGAGCAGGAGGCAGCGAGCCGGAGCGCGCGGGCGAGCTCGGGTGGGCTGGCCCCGTGCCCACGGACACGGCGGCACAGCCTGAGGGGGGGTGTGGGGGGGCTCACCTGGGGACCCCCCCCTCTCCCCACAGCCCACCCACCCGTGTCACCCGCATGGCCAAAGCCATCCTAAGCCCTAGCAGCGGGGAAACTGAGGCACGTCCCCTGTTCCCGGTGACCCCCACACGGACCTTCAGGTGCCCCCCCCCTCCAGGGGGGGTAATTTCGGTCCTGTCACAGCTGGGAGCCATCAGGGACTGTCCCCAGGTTTTTGGGGGGCTGTCCCCGTACGTGGTGGGTGTCCCCCCTGCCTCGTGTCCCCGGGCAGCAGCTGGGTGTGTGGGGATGATCCCTGGGGGGCACCGGGGGGGGCTGCGTGCCATGGCCAGGAGGCAGGGGGGGTCACTTTGTGGGTGCTGTGTCCCCAGGGTGGCACTGCCAGGGGGTGACCCCATATGGACAGTGTCACCTTGTCACTTTGTGGGTGCTGTGTCCCTGAGGTGCCACTGTCGGGGGGTGTCACTTTGTGGGGGGGTGGCACTGCCAGGGGGTGTCCCCATATGGACAGTGTCACCTTGTCACTTTCTGGGTGCTGTGTCCCAGGGGTGGCACTTTCTGGGTACTGTATACCTGGGGTGCCACTATGGGGGTGTCCCCTTGTCACTTTGTGGGTGCTGTGTCCCCGGGGTGCCACTACCAGGGGCTGTCCCCTTGTCACACGCTGTGCCCCGGGGCTCCACCACCCTTGGCCGCCTCTTCCTGGCCCTGTCCCGGTGCCAGCAGCCGGGCCGTGTTTAGCTTGGCGCTGTCCCGGGGCCGTGTTTACCGTCAGACCCGTTCCGGGAGGGAGGAAGGGCCGGCCCCGACCCCATCCCAACCCCATCCCCGACCCCATCCCCGTCGCCCCCCCCCTCAGCGCAGGCCTCGGGGCCCGGCCTCCAGCCGCGGCCCTGCCCCGCAGCCCCCGCCCCACACGGGGCGGTCCGGGCCCTCCTCCAGCAGCCGGGCGGAGGGAGGAGGAGGCCGGCCGGGGGCTGCCAGCGGCCCGCTTCCCTCCGTAGAGGCCGGGGAGGCCGCGCCCGAGCCCGGTTGGGGCCTGCGGGGCCTCCCCGGGGCGGGCGCCGCCGCCATGAAGCCGAGCGCAGGTGAGGGCAGGGCCGGGCACGGGGCTGGGGGCTCCCGGGGGATGGAGCCCGGAGCCTGGAGCTCGGGGGAGGGCTGAGGGTGAAGGGAGGGGAACAGGGAGCCGGGAAGCGGGTTGTGACGGTGCTGGTGCTGTGCCCGTTGCCCAGAGGAGCCCGTGCTGCTGGCCGAGCTGAAGCCGGGGCGGCCGCAGCAGTCGGACTGGAAGTCGAGCTGCGAGACGTGGAGCGTGGCCTTCTCCCCCGACGGCGCCTGGTTCGCCTGGTCGCAGGGCCACTGCCTGGTCAAGCTGATCCCCTGGCCGCTGGAGGAGGCCGAGCTGTGAGTAACGGGGCTCTGGGGGTAAAAACACCACCTGGCGGCGAGGCCGCGGTGCCAGCCCGCTCTGCCCCCCTTTTCTCTTCTCCTTCTCCCCGCAGCTGCAGAGCCTCGGAGCGCAAAGGCCACGGCAAGGCGGAGGCGTGGAGCCGAGGGGGAGCCAAGGAGAAGACGCTGGAGTGCGGCCAGATCGTCTGGGGCCTGGCCTTCAGCGCCTGGCCGGCGGCGGGGGGCCCCGACGCTGCCGCGGGGTTGTCCTGCCTGGTGCTGGCCACGGGGCTCAACGATGGGCAGATCAAGGTCTGGGAGGTGCAGACAGGTGAGCGGTGCTTTATGGCACTGGGGATGTGGCAGCAACGAGTTCAGGCTGCTCTCTTTGCTCTTTCTGCTCCCCGGCTCCATCCTTCCCTAAATATTTCCCGAGGGTAAGCGGGAGCTGCTGCCTGCTCCTGCACGGGACAGGCTCTGACAGGGCTGATATGGCTGCTCCCCGCAGGACACCTTCTCTTCAGCCTCCTGGGGCACCAGGACGTCGTCAGGGACCTGAGCTTCGCTCCCAATGGAAGCCTCATCCTGGTGTCGGCGTCGCGGGACAGGACTTTGCGTGTCTGGGACCTCAGCAAAGATGGTAGGAGTAAGAGTGGGTAGCACCCCCGGTGCTAGGTCAGCCCTTCCCCAGGCTGTGCTTTGCTGTGGGCGAGGAGAGGGCAGAAGCACACCTTGGAAGGGGAGATGGTGGGAGGGGATCTCTGGGGACAGTGTTTGAGGCAGAAACGGGGGGGTCCTGGGACAGAGCAGAGCCATCCCCTCCCAGCTGGGACCTGGGGACTGCAGGAAGGTGTTGCAGATAGAGAGTTTGGGATGGGCACAGGGAAATTCCCCCACCCCAAATGCGTTTTCCTCCTTAGGACTGGGGCTGAGGCAGCAGGCGGGGCAGCGCCTGTCCCCGGTGACTCAGCTGTGTCTCTGATGACTCCCGTGTCTGTTGTCCCCAGGGCGGCAGGTCCAGGTGCTGACGGGCCACATGCAGTGGGTTTATTGCTGCTCCATCTCTCCTGACTGCAGCATGCTCTGCTCGGCGGCCGGAGAGAAATCGGTGAGTCCCCAAGGGTGGCAGCCGGTCCCACGGAGCGCCACGCTCCCTCTGCCCCCTTTATGGGAGAAGTCCCCATGTGGGAAGGGGCAGGTGAGAGCCAGCCTCGTTCCTTGGACTTCCCAGCACCAACGTGCCCCCCCCGTGCTGGGTGAGGATCCGGGGTGGGCACAGGAATGCTGTTGACCACCGAGGCGTTGGGGTGTGGTGGGGAGAGGTGGTTGGGGAGGTATTTGGGTGCTTTCTGTGATCACAGCTGCTTCAGACACCCTTGCTGGCTTCGTCTCCTCTGCTGGGCTCTCTGTGCTGTCCTGGGTCTGTGTGACAGTGCGGGGAGCCTCAGCCTCATCCCCCCCCGTGCCCCGCAGGCGCTGCTGTGGAGCATGCGGTCCTACACGCTCATCCGGAGGCTGGAGGGGCACCAGAGCAGCGTGGTGTCCTGCGACTTCTCACCGGACTCAGCGCTCCTCGTCACCGCCTCCTACGACACCTGCGTCATCATGTGGGACCCCTACACGGGGGAGCAGCTGAGGACGCTGCGGTACAGAGCTGGGGGGTGCAAGGGGGGCTACAGGAACGGGGTAGAGAGGTGTCAGGGGGGGGTTGGTGGGGCTGAACGAGGCCTGGGGCTCGGGCTGAGCGTGTTTTTCCCCCCGCAGCCACGTCCCCCTGCACTCGGCGCTGGATTACAGCAGCGACGTCCACACCAGCTCCCTGCGGTCGGTCTGCTTCTCCCCAGAGGGCCTCTACCTGGCCACGGTGGCGGACGACAGGTGAGTTAATACCCCTCCTTGGGGTCTTTCCGGAGGGAAGGAGGGTCCTAAGAGGACGTTTCAGAAGTTCAGGGACATCCCAGCAGGGTGCAGACATTGCATGGCAAAGACACCAACGCATTCAGAGCCCTGGTTGTGTGAGGAGTTGGCAAGGTCGAGGCGCTGTCACCTCCCTGAGCAATGAACCAGGGCTGTGTCCCCTCGCAGTGCTCCTCAGTACTGTCACCTGCTCTGTCCCCATCTGGCTCAGCTCTGCAGGGCACAATGCTCCTGCCCTGGGAGGCTCTAAATCCACGGGATGAAGCCCTGCTCCCAACTTGTGTGCCTTCAGGTGGCCCCGGAGGCTTCGTTTCAGCTGCAGGCACCGCCTGACGTTGTGTCACCTCCCTGTCTCCTTAGGCTCCTGAGGATCTGGGCGCTGGAGCTGCGATCCCCGGTGGCGTTTGCTCCCATGACCAATGGGCTGTGCTGCATGTACTTTCCCCACGGTGGCTTCATCGCCACAGGGTGCGTATATCTGCTGCGGGGAGCTCCAGGAGAAACCAGCCTGAGGGTGCAGGCTGGTTCCCAGCTCAGGGAGCGAGTGTGGTTGCTGCACGCTCGGGATATTTGGGGATAACTCTCTCTCTGCGCCGTGCTGGGGCGGTGGATGCTCGCTCAGGGCCTCTTTGGGTCTCGTTGCAGGACCAGAGATGGCCACGTCCAGTTCTGGACGGCTCCGAGAGTCCTCTCAGTCGCTCAAGCACTTGTGCCGCAAAGCCCTGCGCACCTTCCTGACGACGTACCAGGTCCTTGCACTCCCCATTCCCAGGAAGCTGAAGGAGTTCCTCACCTACCGGACCTTCTGAGGGACCAGAGGCACGCAGGCGAGAGCCCCCTGCCTCGCGGCGGGGCCGGCCTGGCTCACAGAGCACTGCTGGTTTGTCGTGCTGGTTGGTGAGCCAGTGGGGCGGAAGGATTGTTACTCCCCTTGTTTTGGGGCTGTCTGTGAACGTGGAGATATTTTTTTTTTTTTTTGGTGTAATAATACTAGAACCCAGCAAAAAAAAAAAAAAAAAGCATGCAGAGGGCACGGGGCACAGTACAACGTTGGGGACAGCTCTGGTGACCCCACAGGGGACGCGAGTCCCCCTGTCCCCCTGCTATCTGCAGGCTTTGGGTCAGGTGCTTTTGCTTCCAAGTGCAATGTTGTGGGTTGAGGATTAGCAGCTGCGGGCCGAGCAGAGTGTTTGGCGGTGCGAAGCGGGGGCCACAACCAGCCCCCCCACCAGCCCCGACGGGCCCAGCCTGTACTTCAGCTGCCGGAGGGCCACGGGCTCTGCTGTTCCCGTGGTCTGGGCACGAGCTGGACGAACCTGAGCCGGTCTCTGCGGGCTGGGTGACAGCGCTGACGGAATAAAAGGTGGTTGATTCCTCACTTCTTCCCTCGTGGCTCGTAGAGGTGAACTGGGGCTGCCAGGCGGGGGCCCAGGGAGCAGCCCCTCCTGCTGCTGCAGCTCTGGGTAAGGCAGAGCTGTTCGCTCGGCTCTGGAGAGGAGCAGATGGTCAGTGGTGGGCGCCGGGGAGGATGAGTCCTCGTGGTTAGCTGTGAAAGCAGAACGTGGCTTCGCCTAGCCCCCTGCTTTCGCTCCTCGGTTGCTTTTTCCGCCCCCACGCCAGCCCCTAGGACTTGGCGCTCGAACAGCTCACCCGCAGCGTGCGCCTGGTGTGCAGCCTTGCCGTGCACGCAGCAGGCTCGTGGACGCCTCTTGCTCCAGCTGAGCTGGTGGCTGCAGGGACAGCACGTGCTTGGTGCCCCCCTGCATGCTAGGGGACTGCGCAGGAGCCCTGGGCTGACCCCAGCTGGTGGAGGAGAAGACGGGGAACATCTCCTCCAAGCAGTTCCCTGCAATGTTTTCCTTTGCGAGCAGCTAAACCCCGAAAGCTGTCGTTTCCCAAAGACTTCCAGGAAAATATATGACCTACAAACTGCCAGGGCACTATTTCTCAGCCCGTGAGCAGCTGGGGCAGCTCGTCCCCGCACGGAGGGCCCCAGGAGTGCTGCAGGCAGGTGCCAGCAGCCCGTGTGGGTGCACCACGGCTGCTACGTGGGCCGGCGGCAGCGCAGTTAAGCTCTGCTGAGCTCCCCAAGGTCGGCAGGGTTGTGCTTTGAGCTCTTCCCCTCAGCCAAAGAACATCAGAGCTGTGCTGCTGAAGGCTACAGGCACCAAAGCCTCGGAGAAGCCGGAGCTGCCACAGGGGCCTTTGCAATGGGATGCAGGCAGAGGGTGAGGCTCGATCACCTCCCTTCAGCCGTGGCTGTAGGGGAGAAAAAAGCAAACAACCACACAACCTGCTTGGCTTTAGAGATGTTTGCATTTCCCGGTGAAGCGTATAAAAACAGCCTGCTCTGGCACGCCCCAGGTGGGGGCCCAGGGCGTGCAAAGAGGAACCACGAAGCCGTGCGGAGCTGCCTCCGGGTGCCTCGGCTTTCTGCTCAGGACACCCTGCAGGCCAGGACGCTTGCAGCCACCCCGCCAGGCTCAGGCTTCGGCCACGATCAGGTCCCTGGTGACTTGGAAAGCCGCGACGAGGGAGCTCAGCTGAACCTTCTCGCTTGTTCCTGCAGCCAGCCGGTACCTGTGGCAGGAGGCAGGGGGAGATTAAATGCTTGCAGCAGCACCAGCGCCCCGATGGAGCGAGCCAAGAGCAGGCAGACTCACTCGATATCTGCCATCTTGATCAGCAGCTGGATGCGGACCGAGGGTGGGAAATCGACTGCGGGAAGAAGGAGGTGGCGTGAGTTTGGGTGTTTTTTTGGGGCACCAAGCCAGGAGCCGGCCCCGCAGACCTCTACCTCTGTGCACAAACAGGTGGATCTCGGTCAGGATGTCCTGCAGGGCCAAGCCCTTCAGCGTCTTCAGCTCGGTGATTTCTGAGATGGCAGCGAGTGAAGGGGATCCTTAAACACGTTCCTTGCAGGATCCAACAACCCCCATGGGAGTGGGACCCTCCCCAGCGAGTGGCATGAAGCCAGCCCTACCCCGGCCGGAGCAGGAGGGTGGGAACCCATGGCAAAAAAAAGGAGGATTTATAGCAACGGGGATTAAACCCACAGCAGAAGGAAAAGGATACTGCGATAGGCGGTGGAGAAGTCCAGGTTGAGCATCCAGTCGAGGATGTTGGCGATGTCGGACTTGAGGGGATGCCCCGTGCAGGTGTAGACGTTCTCCTCCGTCACCTTCCCGAAGGCCATGGCGGTGCTCTGAGGAAGAGGAGGTGGAGGAAGGACGAAGGGCTCCCAGTTTGCAGGGCCCACCGAGGTGCCAGCTTACACGAGGTGCCACGCTTGCTTACCTGCAGGATGTTCAGGGCTCGGCGCATGTCACCACTCGAGAGGGTCACCAGCGCCTTCATCCCGTCCTCGCTCACATCCACCCTGCAAGGCGAGGTGGGGGCTGCAGCGGGACCGGCTCAGCACCCCCATGGTCTCCAGCCCCTGCGGCAGGAGCAGGGGGAAAGGGGGTGTATGGCAGAGCCCCCCCGGCTCACCCCTCCTCCTGTATGACGTGCTGCAGCCGGGGCACCATCAGCTCCGGGGTGAGGGGCCCGAAGCGGAATCGGGTGCAGCGGGACTGCAGCGCGGGGATGATCTTGGAGAGGTAGTTGCAGATGAGGCAGAAGCGGGTGTTTTCGGTGAACTTCTCGATCACTGCAAAGGAGGAGAGGAGCTGGATGGAGCCCCCGCAGCCTCGTACAATGGGGAAGGCTCAAGGGGTGCTGCCAAGCCCTCTCTGGGTGCCCCTCACCTCGCCTCAGGGCGTTCTGGGCGTCCTGAGTCATGGCATCGGCTTCGTCCAGGATGACGAGCTTGAAGCCTTTCCTGAGATGGGGCAGAAAGGGATGGATTTAGGTCCCAACCCCCCTTCAGGAGCTGGGGCTGGAGGTGCCTCCTCTTAGCATGGCCCCCAGGAACGCTCCCAGCTCCCAAATCCCCACCGCCCACCCCAAAACCACCCCCCGAGGTGCGGGGAAGCCTACTTGAAGATGGTCCTGGTGCTGGCGAAGCTCAGGATGGGCCCCCTGACGATGTCGATTCCCCGGTCGTCCGAGGCGTTCAGCTGGAGGAACAGAGGTAGCAGCGGGGGTGCAGGGGGGACTCTCCCTCTCACCCCAAAGCTGGGTGCCCCCCCCCCCCCAGGACACCCCTCCCTTTACCTCCAGCACCATGGAGCTGAACTCTCGGTCCCGGTAGAGCTGCCGGGCACACGCCAGGATGGTGGAGGTCTTGCCGGTGCCGGGGGGGCCATAGAGGAGGAGGTGGGGCAGGCGGTCCTCGCTGATGAACCGCTGGACTGGGGAGGGGGCGGAGGGGGGTGGGTGAGGGGGGGGGGTCTGAGGATGGCCTGAGCGCGAGGTGCGGCCACAGCATCCCTGGGGGGTACTGGTGGGGGTGGTGGGGGGAATGGGGGGGTGCTGGGGGGATGGTGGGGGTGGTGGGAGGGTGCTGGGGGGAATGAGGGGGTGTTGGAGGGGATCTGGGGGGAATGCGAAGAGGCTTGGGGGGAATGGGGGGGTTACTTGGGGGTGGTGGTGGGGTGCTGGGAGGGGTTGGGGGTGCTGGTAGGAGGGTGCTGGGGGGATGCTGGGGGAAATGGGGAGGTTGCTGGGGGGGGTGCTGGGGGGAATGGGGTGGTGCTGGGGGGAATAAGGGGAATGGGGGGTGTTGGTAGGAATCGGGGGGTTGCTGGGGGGTGCTGGGGGGGGTGCTGGGGGGTGGGGAATGGGGGTTGCTGGGGGGTGGTGGTGAGGTGCTGGGAGGGGTTGGGGGTGCTGGTAGGAGGGTGCTGGTGAGGATGGGGGTGCTGCTGGGGCCGGGGGGGTACTGGGGGTGCTGTTGTCCCCCCGCTACTCACTGGTGCTGAGGATGTCCCGGTGCGACACCAGCTCGGAGAGCTCCCTTGGCCGGTACTTCTCCACCCTGCGGGGGGCAGCGGGGATCAACCCGGTGCCCCGACCCCCCCATATCCCCTCCACACACCCCTCAGTCCCCTAAAAACCCCTCAAAACCCCCCCAAAAACCCATCCCCAAGCCCGCCGCCCGCCCTCACCAGGGCAGGTTCCTCCCGCCCGCCGCCGCCATCTTCCCCGCGGCGCCTCGCGAGAGCGGGGCCTGGGGGGGGGGCCGCGTGTGGGGCCGGGGGGGTCGGGGACAGGGACAGGGCTGGGGACAGGGACAAGGACAGGGACACGGCCCCGGGGGTCGCTGCTGGGGGGCTGCCCCCCGCTGCTGGGTATCTAGAGGGGATGGGGAAGGCCCCTCCTCACCCCCCCCCCCCTAGTCGGCAGCACCCATGGGTGCCAGGGGCCGGCTGTGGGGTGGGGTGGGGGCTACCTGGGGGGTGGTTTGGGGTCCAGGGGGCTTAAAGCCGGCTGGATCGGCCGTGGGGGGTGCCTAGGATGGGCCCCCCTCAGCTCCTGCGGCTGCCTGGCCCCCATGTCTGTGGGGTGGGGGGCCACTGGGGAACAGCCTAAAGTGGCTGGTGGGGTGCTTGGGTGTTGTTTTGGGGTGGGTGGAGGAGGAAAAGGAGATGTTCTGGTGGGGGGAGACCGGGTTTCAAGAAGGCAACCCCCCCGCAGAAGCACTGGGGTGTGTATTGAGGGACAAAAATATACCAGGGACATCTTGTTGCCCCCCATGGAAGAGCTCCAGGTCTAATCCTATAGAAAACCCCAAACACGTGTGGGTTGGCAGCTGGACATGGGGTGTGAAATGTGGAGCTGGTGTTCACCTGGGGGGCTTCTGGCCCTTCAAACCCCAATTTTCCAGGCATTCCTCCCCCCACCCCACTAACACTACACCCACAGCCCAGGCTGAGCCCTGGAGGGGGCAGGCACAGTTTGCTGTGGGGGGCACAGCTTGCAGCCCCCCCGTGGTATTCCCCTATTTCCCCACCATATTTCTCGTGGGTAACCTCAGCTGTGGGCTGACCGGATCGAATCCACAATACGTACCCATATTTTTACATTTATTTTGTAATTGATGGCTGCCCCTCTGACTCCCCAAGGACGCTGCTTCGGGAAGGGAACCAGTGGGTGGGGGTCCCGGGGCGATTCCAGGGGGGCAGCGGGGATGGAGCCGGTGCCAATAGGGTCCGGGCTCACAGGGGGGCAGGAGAAGGGGGCACAGGTGAGCATGAGGTGCTTTGGGACGAGCGGGTCCTGCTGGGAGCGACTCCTGGTTAAGAAATGAAGCGGTTGGGGTTGCCCAGTAACAACGCTCACAGCTCGCCCGTTTACGAAATCCAGACCCCGATCGAGAAGGAAATGAATAATTCCAGCTGTCCGAGGCCGTGCCAGGGGAAAACACGCCTCAGCCCTGGTGTCAGGCCTGCTTTTACCTGGGGAAACCTGGTGTGGGGTGTGCCGGGGCGGCTC